CTTAAGGCCTTGCACGACCGTGCTCATCTGTGGAAAGCCCAATTATAAAGAGTTTATAGGATTTTCAAACCCTATTAAAAGGAAGACCGGAGGCACCATTGAAAAGACCCAGTTTTTATCTTGGCTTTGGCTCGGGAATACATTTGATCTCGTCTCTCTTGCACGGGATCCTTGGCACATGTTTGGGGAGACTTGGAGTTTCAAGCGATCGTACTTGAAGACCGAGAACACATCTCATACTCTAATTTGCTATTTCTTTTTATTATGACTTTGTTTATGATTGTTTTAGTTCTTTTCTTTAGCATTAATAATTAAGTCCATAGCTAGGGTTATGGGAACTATTGTTCATGAATTTATAGAATTTTGATGTTTAAATCTGAATTTGATTTCTCTATGATAAGTTTAATCAAGACGTGCATTGTATTCTTTGCTCTTAGTTTTATAATTGATTTTATAAATTCTTGTTTTTAATTAATCTCGTATCTTTGAAGCTTAAACAATTGAATTAGGAAATTCTTAGTAATTGAAAATCAATCCTTGTGGGACGATATTTCGAGAACTTAATTTAAAAACCTTTTATTACTTCTCGATGGGTACACTTACCCTTCGAACAATTTGCTCATGACAAGAAGGGAATTTGACAAATTTCTGTGGTGTATATTAAGTGACTTTAATGCTGTGAGATAGGTGAAAGAGAGGAAGGGTTGTCAGGCAGACCATAGTATCTCTGAAATAAATGGCTTCAATTCTTTCATTCAGGAAATAGAACTTGTAGATCTTCCACTTGTGACTAAGAAATTTACATGGATAAGGGGGATGCTTCTATGATGAGTAGGCTAGATAGAGTCCTTGTTTCTAGTTCCTAGCTTGATTACTGGGGAGATGGTTTTATTCAGGTTCTGAGCAGAGATGTGTCTGATCATTGTCCTATTATTCTTAAGCACAAAGTGGTTAATTGGGGCCCGAAGCCATTTCGATTTAACAACTGTTGGCTGACTCATAAGGGAGTTGTGTAGATGGTGGAGGAAGAGTGGAAAAGAGATATTACCCTTCCATGAGTTGTCTAGAGAGCTCGCCAGAGGTTAATGAATGTTAAGATTGCATTGAAAAAATGGAATATTGAAGTGTTTGGAAATATTGATAAGGTGATTTATGATTTGACAATTGAGTTGAGCTTAATTAATGATAAAAATTATGTGATGGAACTTTCCAATGTGGAGAAGGAGCGTCAACAGATAATGGTGGGTGATATTTGGAAGGTTAAGAAGAATAGGGAGAGTCTCAATTCCCAAAAAGCTCGAGTGCAATGGGAGAAAGAAGGTGATTTAAATACAAAGTTCTTTCATTTGTGTGTTAACGAGAGGAGACGACGAAATAATATACATGCGCTTCAAATTGGGGAGAGATATGTTGAAGATATTGATGAGATTAAAGTAGGTGTGGTGTCTTATTTTGCGGATCATTTTAATAGTAGAGGTTGGCTTCGACCTACTATTGATGTTAATGATTTATCGAGAGTCTCTGTTCTGCAGAATGAGAGGCTTGTTAATACTTTTTCGGAGGATGATTTTAAAGTGTGAGGGGGATAAAAGTCTGGGGCATGATGATTTTAATTTTATGTTCATTAAAAGGTTTTGGGGAGTGATCAAGGAAAAAGTGATGGGTATGCTACTGAATTTTTTAGAAATAGGAAACTACCTAGGTCTCTATTATCATACTTTCTAGCACTTATGCCAAAAGTGTCTTGCCCACAACAGATATCTGATTTTTGGCTTATCTCATTGCTAGGTTGCCTTTATAAGATTGTTTCCAAGCTTTTGGCAAATAGGTTGAAAGGAGTTCTGGATTGAATAATTTTAGAATAACAATCAGCCTTTATCCTGGAAAGAAACATGTTAGATAGTGTGCTTGTGGGTAATGAGGCAGTTGATTATGTGCGAAGGCATAACAAGAGGTGTTTTGTGTTAAAGCTATATTATGAGAAGGCTTACAATTTGGTGGAGTGGAGATATCTTTTGTTTATGTTACATAGCTTTGGATTTTCATAAAAATGGGTCAGTTGGATAGAAGTTTGTGTGTGGGGGGTAGCCTATCAACTTTGATTAATGGTTGTCCTACATTGGAGGTTCATATTGAGTGGGACCTAAAACAAGGGGATCCTCTTGCCCCTTTTCTTTTTCTTGTAACAACGCAAGGGTTAAGAGTTCTTATGTGGAAGGCAATCGCTTGTGAGCTATTCTCTGGTGTGAAGATTGGAGTAAGGGGACAAGATATTTCTTTGCTGCAGTTTGCAAATGACCCACTAATTATGAGAGAGGCTTCAATTCAAAACTTGTGAACTTTAAAAGCAGTATTGCGTAGCTTTGAGTTAATGTCAGGTATGAAAATTAATTTTCATAAAAGTTGTGTATTGGGGATTAACACTAACGATGACTTTGAAAACTTGATTGCGAAGTTCCTATATTGTAAGATTCGTAGCTTCCCATTAAAGTATCTCGGGATACAGTTAGGTGTTAACCCAAGGAAGCCTAGTACATGCAAAGGTGTGTTAGAGGCTCTTAAAAAGAGATTGACGTCATAGAAGAATAGGTATGTATCGATTGGAGGCAGGGTGACTTTGATTAATGTTGTTCTTAATTCTATGTCATTGCACTTGTTATCCTTTTTTAAGACACTGAAGTCGGTGATAAAGGAAATTATCACTATCCAACGAAATTTTTTATGGAAATGTGTTAATGATGGATCTAAAATCTCCTAGGTGAAATAGGACACAGTTTGTAGACCGCGGAAGAATGGTGGCTTGGGAATTAAGAAAGTCTAGTGGTTTAACTGAGCGCTTCTTGGTAAATGGTTGTGGCGAGGCATTAATTGTTCTAGTTCATTGTGGGTGCAGGTGTTGGAAGTTAGGTATGACAGATTAGCTTCTTCTATTCAGCATCTATCAGTCCACAACAGATGTTCTTTGTGGTGGCATGATTTGCTGGAGGTTATTCATCAAGGGAATTCGTGGCTAGATGAGAAGTTGGATAGGAGTGTGGGTGCAGGTTTGCACACTCTTTTTTGGAAAGATAAGTGGGTAGGTGGGGTGCGATTGTGTGAGGCATTTTCCGTGATTGTTTGCAAACGCGAGGAATGTTGAATCTTGTGTATTGGAGAATGATTTTTATGATGGCACTATGTGTGTTTGGGATGTTAGTTGGTGAAGAGGACTCTTTCAACATGAGATCTCAAGCTTTGATCTTTTGTTGAAACTTGTGGATAGAGTCTTTATTAAGGTAGTACAAGAAGATAAATGGGTATAGAAGGCAGATTCTTCAGGTTGTTATTCAGTGCAATCTGCGTATTCATGGCTATTTAAACTGTTTGGTGGTCCTAATAGTGTAGATCAGTGTATGGCAGATGCCTTACAAAAACTATGAAAATGGAAGGTCCCTCTTAAGTGTCTAGTATTTAATTGACAATTGTTGTTGAATGCACTTATTTGTAAAGGTTTGTTGATTGATCATGGTGTTCAAATTGATGATATAACTTGTTGTTTTTGTCATGGTTTGGAGGAAGTTCTAACTCATTTATTTATAACATGCTTAGTTTTATCTCAAATATGATACTTTACTATGCTTTAGCTTGGATTCTCACTAGTTTTGCTTTCAAATTTATCGACTCACTTACTTTCTTGAGTTGGTGTTGGTTGTAGTAAAAGAGAAGATATTTGTTTATTAATTATTTGGGTAAATGCAGTGTGATTTTTGTGGTTATATAGAAATAGAATTGTGTTTTCTAATGGTGTTTTGGATGAGAGGGAAGTCCTAGATTCTATTATTTTGATGTCCTAGAAATGACTATCACTAGTTAATAAGGGAGAAGCTATTTTGCTAGCTGATTGGTATTTAAACCCTATAAATTGCATTCGTCTTAACTTTATATAAGTATGTTTTTGTTTTTTATTTTATGAAGTAAGTGTTAGATTTTTTATCTGTGCATATGGGTTTTGAGTTCCCCTTGAACTCTCTAATAATATATGTTTTGTTTATAAAAAAAATTTAAAAAAGTTAGATTGAAAATTTGACGGGATGATAAAGAAAAAGAATGTCTTATATGATGAGAAACATTTTATTCTATGTTTAGTAACATAAATTATAATTTATATTTTTTTTGAAAATAAGCTAATAAAAAATTGTTTAAAAACATTAAAATAAAAGGAGTTTATAATTTTTTAAATTTAACTTTTGAAATTTTATTGAAGTAGTATTTAACTTATAATTATAATATTGCATTAATATAATATGCATATTCATTAACAATTTTCATTCAATTACTTGTAAAATTATAAGTTTTTAATTCTGATTATACTTTATAAGTTTTTAGCTAATTTTACTAAACAAAACTTTAAAAGTTAAAAATAATTTGAGATATAAGTCTCTAAGCATAAATATCTTAATTATGTCTAATTATATATTATATCTCACAATCTTGTTATAATTCATCTTTTCATAAAATTTAATTAATTTGTTTAATTTAAACCTAAAAGTGTTGTACAATTCCATATTTTTATGTTTATAATTTTATTATATAAGTAAAATAATCATTCCAATAGTTTAGGACAGTTTTAGCCATAACTTTTCCAACCTTATAGCTTTTATAACTTATAATTTTAACAATAACTTATAAATTTTATAAGTATTTTTAACTTTTTTAAATAAAATTTTTAGAATAATTTATCAAAATAAGTTATTATTTTAAAAAATTAAATAAACACTTAATTGAGTTATAAATGCATACATATTCATTTTAATAATATAAACGTGTATTTGGCAATTGTAATAATTAATTATATTGGGTAACTATAAAGGGACTTGTCTTAGTCTTACTCTTATTATGCATAGATATTTTCCACCATAGAATCTCTCCCAATATAGCTTCTCCCTCACCGTGCCCTTTTCCACATGATGAAATTCATTTTTGTTCATACTCACTAATTACTTTGTTTAACCCTAAAACCAAAAACAGAAAATAAATAAGACATGACATGGGTGGTGCATGTTCTTTCAAGCCATTCCAAACAGTCACATTTTCCATTTTCTTCTTCTTCGTCGTCACCACGACCACCTTCATTCTAACCGTCGCAAACACCGACCCCGATTTCGTCAAAACTAACACCGCATCCCTTCCGTTTTCAAGTTTGGAATACGATGGAAGTGCCGCGTCACCGCCGGTTAATTCAACAGAAGCAAAGTCTCGTTCAGTGTCGTTAACGCCAAGCACGGCCATTATCGTTGGCGTTTTAACGGCCACGTTTTGTCTCACCTTCCTTCTGCTTCTCTACATCAAGCACTGCAGTGGCGGCAACACCTTCACATTTTCCCCCAATTCTCGACCCACGCACGAGAGGAAGAACTCCGGCATCGAACGAGCCATCGTGGAATCGTTGCCGATATTCCAATTCGAATCGCTGAGGGGACAAAAGGACGGTCTCGATTGCGCGGTGTGTCTCACGCGCTTCGAGGACCCTGAGTTTTTGAGGCTGTTACCCAAGTGCAAGCACGCTTTCCACGTAGAGTGCGTGGACACGTGGCTGGATTTGCACTCCACGTGTCCGCTCTGTCGCCACAAGGTGGAGGCGAACGACGTCGTTTTGGTGGAAAGCGCGGGGGAGGAAGAATTGGACGTGGAAAGGGGAATTGGGAAAGAAAACGACGACGTAGGGTTGTCGGAGATTGTTTTGCATAGGGGAGAGGAGGAAGCGGGAACGACGTCGTTTAAGGGAATGACAAGCGGGGAATTATCGCATTCACACAGGTTAGAGCATCGCATCAATGTAGTGCCGCAAGGTGAGGTCCACAAGGGGAATCAACGGTGGAGCGATGTTCAGCCGTGTGATGTGTTGTATTTGACGTCGGAGAGGATCATGTGGAAGGCACGAGAGAATGATGATGTGAGGAATTTGAGGAGTGTTTCAGAGATGACGGGTATTAGTAGGATTATGAGTGGTAATGGGGAAAGAGGGAGGGAAAGGGGACATCATCGGAGATTCAGTTCCAGGTTGTTCAGTTGGATTCCAGTCACACATTCACGGTAGGGATTTTGTTATTTCTACCCCATTTTTCGATTTATATCTCATCATATTATATTTTTTATATTAAAATATAATTTAACATCATTTTATATCTGCACTTTTCAAAATGTGAACTTGGTTTAGGCACAGGTATGTTAGAATTTATGTTTTACACCTTGTGTTTTAAAATACGTTAAATATGATTTGGATGTAAAAATCAAATATGTTATTGATGTATATTGTAGCGTTAGATTCACGAAATCATTCATATTTGTTGAGGTTGGTTAATCATTAAATAAGCTTTTCTTATTTTTAAACACTCAAAAATTACGTCAACTTCTATTTCACATTTCAATGGATACTTGCCTCACTCCAGCCTGCTGTAATGGTTTGCTTACTGTTACCATTATTGTGTCCGGCCCAGGTTTGAGACTTCATTCTTCATGAAGAAAACAAACTTTGAATACTAACGAAAAAACAAGAGGGATAATCTATCTATTAATTAAATTATTTAACTAAAATGTTATATGAGATTTTTATTTTTGTTTTTATTTTATAATAATGCCATATAATGTTTCTATTTTCTAAATTTATTACTACGCTTGTATTTTGTTAAATTTTTATTTATTTCATTTATATGTTATTTTATCTTTTGTTATAATATTTTTTTAATTTTTTTAAAAATATAAGAATATAAAAATACAATAATTTTTAATAAAGTATAAATAATAATAATAATAATATATTAAAATTATTATAAACAAAATTTGCCTTCCAAATATTAAATAGTTTATAGCTTTGGATGTATATTCGCACATTACAGGACCGAATGCAGGTATGAGTACATTATTACCCACTTTATTCCATACCCACGTACTATTAAATATATTAAATTTTAAATGAAAAACTAAATTATATTCTAGTCTTTATATTTTGCACTCATAAATTTATTATTTTGTTGATCACAAATTGTTATTTTAATTTTAATTTAATTGAATTTGTATGTTTGTTTATAAATATTTGGAGTATATTATAATTTATATTTATTATTTTATCTTGTTAGATTTGAATTTGGTTTAATTTTTTATTATTATTAAGATAGAAAATAACACTTGTATTTAAGTAAAGCATATATAATAAGGTAAATTACACTATTCTAAAAAATAAGAGAGCATTCTATTATCTTATATACGTGAAATAATTATAACCGTTAAATTTAGTTAATTTTAGAGAAAGTATTCAATTATTGTATTAATCATCATATCATAAATTGAAATATTGAAATATACATCAAAATTAGTAAATATGTCTGTGCATTGCACGAGTTTGTTTTATTTTTATTAAATTAATTTATTTTAAAATATAAAATATATAATTTAAATATAATAAAAAATTTATTATATTAAATATAATTACATTGTGAAAGATTATGAAATATTTCTTTATATACAACATCTTTTGTATATCATATATATTTGTCATCCTCTTCAATAATAAAGATTTTTATTCATTTTGATGATGTTACTCTAGACAATGCAACATATAATTGACCATGACTAAATACAGATTTTGACAAATATAATTTAACATAATTTAACGATTGTCTTTGACTTTTTTTATTGTCATTGCATAACATACTTTTATTGGAAATTATTTTCTTCTTAAAAAAAAATGCCACTTGGAGTCACTTGCTGTAAACTATCCGCGAAATAAGTATTTTAGCACAAATATTGCTTTCTGTAATTATTTTTGTTAAAATATTTTAATGATGATATTAACAAATATTTTATTTTATAAATAAATAAATTACTACTATCATAATTTTATTAAAAATGACAATAATAAAAATTTCAGTATAAATACATAAAAAAAATTATACGATAATATATGCAAATTAAAATATATTATTTTTTGTATTGTTATATAAATAAATTTATTTACAAACAATATCATACATATTGGAATAGTGTTGTAAAATTAAAATATGTATAATTTAGTGATGCTACGTTAGAATGTTCTTGTAATTTAAACATTACCTGATACAATACTTGGTCCTACAAAAAAAGGTCAATATTCAGTGAACCTGATTTAATTATTTTTTAAAATTAAAAAATATATAATTTTAAGAATATAACATAATAAATAATTATATTAATAAAAAAATATTTATATTGATTTCATATTTTTATGTATAGTACCCATATTTTGATTTATATTTTGGGAACTAATTGTAAGTCCATAAAATGACTGAATTTTTTCATTAGGAAGCATTGTTCTCTGTATTCGCAATCGAATGCTCTCAGGAAAATTTTCAAAAGCATTAGAACATATATTCTAATCTGAAAATTTTAAATAATCATATAGTTAGAATATGAAATTTTAATAAATAAATATATTTTCATATGTTAATATAAAAAATACTTCTTTAACATTTTAAACACTAAACTCTATCTTTTTCATATTGAAAGTCTTTTGATAGTTGTGAAGATTTAGACTTCGTACTCAAGAAATTTTAAAAGTATGTAAAGAGAAATATTCGTTAACTTTTCAAACAAATGGTATATATATAAAAATTAAATATAATATTTAAACTTAATTCAGAGTTAAAACGATACATTTTCTTTACTTATTCATTCATTACGATATAAAAGTTTTAAATATCGAAATGGAATATTTACCTAAAGATTTAAAAATTAAATTAAATTTATTTTCATTGTTACGATTTTTAATAATGTTTAATTTAGTTTAATTGTTATAATTAATTAGTTTTAATTGGAAAATTTTGAATTTATCATTCTTATTATAATATTTTATAAAAAGAAACATTGCAACAAAATCATTAAGGATAAATGTTGTTAATTTTTAATTCAAAAAAATTAAATTTGTCATCATAATTATTATATATAAAATATAAATAAAATATTGTCTACGGTTAATAGGTTATACATAATTATGATATATCAATTCTTATGAAATTATTTATAAAAAAAACAAAATAATAGTATAAGAGAAAAAAAGAGTTGTTAAAAAATTTTCAATTAAGATTTAGGTAAAAACTAAAACAAAAGAATGATTGTATTTATTATAAAAATTAATTTTTATATCAATTAAAATTACAGATGTTGATATAATATAAAATTTATATAAGTCACATATAAGATTTGTTTAAGAACAAAAATCAATACATAATAAAACAAGAGAGAGATATATAATAAAATAATTTTATAAAAAGACGTAAATATGTGGTGATATTTTACTTTTCAGATTGTACACAATATTAAAAGTACTTATTCAATATTTCAATAAAAATGGTTCAATCTTCGAAATCTTCCATTCTTGCCTTATATTCACCATTTTTTGCTTCGTGTTCCTCAAGTTGCAACCTAAAAGAAAATATCAAATATAAATTACTGTATGATCTAAGAATTTGAATAATACATTATAAATTTATAATGTATACATTAATTTTCTCCTTCTTTTTTGTAAATTTAGTGTTTCCACAGTTGGAGATATATGAACAACTTATTGCCAAGTCATTTTCTTTTGTTATTGCATTTGTATTGTCTAAACCTTTTTCTTTCTCAATATGTAAATATTAGACAATGAAAATAAAGTTGTTTATCATCATATCTATAAACATTAAAGATAAAAGTAATGAAACTCTAATTTAATCTTCTATATTACCTTTACTATCGGCTTCACAATTTTATTTGTCGTGAAACTTTGTCTTCCACGACTTTTAGAGTAAGTACTCATTTTTATTTGAAAAATATGTGAAGTGTCAATAATTTTTGAAAGTTGTGGAGGCAACTCTAACCCTTTACCATCACCCTTAAAAAAATTATCACATAAAAATAGTTATATATTTTAATATATTTTATTGATATAATCAATCATTTGATTAAATTTTTTAATAAGTTAGACCTTAACACTTTTGCTTACACTTTCGGATGTTGCAATAAGATCTTTTAACTTTACTTGTGCTAATTGTTCAACAACTTCATCAAATAAAACAAATATAGTTGAATCTGTAGAATTTTTAACATCAAACTCAAGACGAAATATGTAATTTATATAAATCAAGGTAATAATATATAATTCAATTTATTTTAACATGAAAATTTAAAAATTAGAATATATAGTGATAAATTAATTACCTTGTCATTGGATAATCAACATCTTTATAACATGATTCACATTTAAAATTTGTAATTGTGAAAGAAACTTTCTTCTCGCAATAGGGGCAAAAAATATAATACCAACTATTTTTAAGCAATATATCGTTCACAGTTGCAATACAACTAATTATGGCATTCTGAAAATTAATTAAAAAATTAGTTAAAAATTTTATTAAGAGAAACAAAGTATAAAAAAAATTAACTTTACCATATCACTCTTTGATTTTGCTATTATCAAAATTTCAGATATATTTTTAAAATTTTCTAACTTAAAAAGAATGGTAGATCTTGTATTATCAACATTGTCAGCAATATGTACATCATTAAAATCCCTACAATAAAGTGATAATGAATAATTAAAAATATAGTAAAGATAAAAAGTAAAAAATTAGCAATAAATAACATAACAGAGAGATTTTACATAATTTTAATACCTGAATGAATCTATAAAATGAGTAACTTCTGGTATATCAATATTGACATAGATCTTTGTTGATTTTGACGTGGAAATAGAAATATTATCTATAATACATACATTCATATTTTTTATAATTAAATATGAAGCATATATATATATATATATATAATTTATTTAAATAAAACATTTTTGTCGCAAACGGGGGCACGACGGGACGGCAATGACAAGAAGTCGCCACCAAAGTTTATTAAAGAAAAAAAATATTGGAGAAACTTTTAATAAAATAATCTTTGAAACCATGCTTGGGCTTGAGAGTCGTTTACGCTTAGAGAACGTATTAGCATCCTACGACGTCCGTTGATTAAAACTGTTACTTTCTAATTAATTCTGCAAGAATTATTTCAACTTTAAAAATTATTTATTTCATTTGAAAAGAAAATTATTGATGTTTTTTTTTATTTTCTGATTTGTCATTTTTTTTATCTTGTTTCTCATTTTTAACAATTTTTTTTAAGTTTTAATTTTATAAATATTTTTTAGAAATACAATTAAAAAAATTTAAATTAACGGAATGAATATATATAAAAATACTATTTTTCTTTTATTTTCGTATTAAATAAATTTAAATAAAATATGACACGATTTTTTTTATTTTTCTTAAAGTAAGATTTCTTTTTTCCTTTTTTGTATTTTTATTTTTGAACAAAGAGCTAAAAAACTAATTCGAATGGAGAAAGTAAAATATTTATAAAATATTATTCTTTTTTATTATCATATTAAATAAATTTGGATAAAAATTAACTTGATTTTTTCTAAGTAAGAATTCATTTTTGCATATTTTTTTTAAAGAACTAAAAGATTAGTTTTAATTGGAAAAATTGATTATTTACAAAATATTATTCTCCTTTTTTTTTATTTAGAATGGGATAAATTTAAACAAAATTTGAATTTAATTTTCTGTATAATATTCATTTTCATATTTTTTAATTTTAAATAAAGAATTAAAAAAATTAATTTAAAATAGGGAAATAGATTATTTAAAAATATCATTCTTTTTTTTATTTGATTAAATTTAAACAAAATTTAATTTAATTTTTCCTTTTTTAGTAAAATATTCATTTTTTTATTTTTAAATAAAGAATTAAAAAATAATTTAAATTGGGAAAATAAATTATTTATAAAATATCATTTTTTATTTTTCATATTAAATAAAATTTAACTTGATTTTTTGAGTAAATATTTATTTTTTTATTTTTATAAAGAAACATAAAAATTTAATTTGAATTGGGAGAAGGGATTAATCATAGGATATTATTGCTCTCTCTTTCTTTTTTTTCCTTTTTTACATTGTTTGCATTGATAAAAATAGTCTTAAAACATTTTTTTTATATTATTTACTTATTCCCTTTTTTTTATAAATAAACATAAAAAATTTGTTTTCTTTTTTATTATTCTGAATTGCTCATAGTTTAATTTTTTTTTAATAATTGAAACCTGAAAAAAATAATTTTTTTTTTGGACTTGACGGGTTAGATTCTCGCTCCTACATATCCTCCATGTGTAACGTAAGAATTAAAGCAGTCACATAGTTCTTTTGAAAATTAGGTTTGAATAAGTTTCAAAAGTGTTATTTTTTTAGCTTGATTTTTACTTTGTTATTATTTTTTGTAAATTCACTCTTGCACGTTGTTCAAGTTAGTACACGACTACTCAATAAACTCTTACGATCCAAGTCATGTTGAAGGTAGATCCACCACTCTATCAAAATCACTTGGCCATTGCGTGGATTTAAAAGACTCTTTTTTTTTATAACCAAAATGTCTTATTAATATTGGATTATATATATATATAAGAAATAAACGAGAAATATATAGAACAACAAAAACAAACACAAGCAAACAAAAACAACAAGAAAATAATTATTGTTTGATTTAGGAATTAGTTATTTTTGGATTTGCAAAGAAATTGAAAATTTTAAGATTTACAAAGAAAGAAAGAATTTTAGGGTTTGGAAAATTTATACTTTTATAATTTGTGAAATAGTTAGAGTTTAAAAAAAGGCTATTTTTTTAGGTTTTGTAAAAAAGAAATACTTGGGATTTTAAAAAAAAAATATTTTTAGGGTTTTAAAAAAAATAACTCTTTTGGGTAGAACATGTTTTAGGGTTTGCAAAAAGATACTTTAAGGTTAAAAAAAATGTTTAGGGTTTGTAAAAAAAAGAATACTTGGGATTTTTTTAAAAATTATTTTTAGGATTTGCAAAAAAAAGACACTTTTAGGTAGAAAACGTTTTAGGGTTGGCAAAAAGGCAAAGCAAACAATGCCCTTTCTTTTTAGATTTTTTAGGGTTTGGGAAGACTAGGGTTTGCAAAAAGAGACAATTTTTATTTTTTTTAAAAAATGATACATTTAGTGTGAACAAACAAAACAAGGAAAAAAATAGAAATGTAAGCAAAGTACACATAATAAAACAAAGATTTTTGTTTAGAAATGAAAATTTAGATTTTTAATATGAACAGAAGGAAGAAATGAGAGTAAAATAATAAATGAAGTGATATTTCATTTAGAAACAAAAACTCGAGACTTTTAATATAAATAAAATATACAAGCAAAAAGAAGAGCAAATAATAGATGAAAAACAAGTCACAAAAGGAAATCTTACTTGTTTCGGAGAATTTATCCTTCAATTTTTTTGGTTTATTCTCTGTTGAGCTCGAGTGTGTCTTAGTATACTCTCAGTTGATTTTTCTTTTAGCTCCCTCCTCATTTTCTTCGTTTCCCGAGCTCTCTCTAAGATTCTCTTTTTTTTTTCTCCCTATGCTCTCAAAGTGTCACGTAAAAATATGAAGTGTCTAGGTCACTCTCTAAAGACCTAATCTTCCTATTTATAGCCACGACTCCTAACCCTAGATCCTATTTTATTTATTTATTTATTTATTATTTATTTTTATTTTAAAAAAAGGGGATCCACCTTCCTATTTTTCGATGGCCACCTCTCACATTTTTCTTAAATATCTCACTCACTTCCCTTAAAATCTATTCATTAATCCACTAACCTAAATATCAACATATTTAAAATTTAAAATTTAAAATCTTAATCTCTTATAGACCTAAAATTTAAAATCTTATCTAATTTTTATTTTATTTTTATTATTTATGTATTTATTTATTCATTTATTTTTTAGATGAGACTCGGATAAAATTGGGTATTCACAATTTTAAAAATATAATAATAAAATTACCTTGAAATTCTTTTACAATAGTGGATGTGAATATTGCAACATTACTTTTGAATCCTTAAATGTGTTATCTTTTATTATCTCTTCAAATAGTGTAATATAATCATCCCACAGTGTTACTTTCACTCTATTTCCCCTGCAAATGATTTAACCAAAATTATAAGATTTTTCAATTAATAATAACTTTAGAATAATTGTTTATACCTCATGTCTTGCAATTGAAGCGTCATGGCACTAGACTTTCCTTGAACAGTTATTTTTTCTTCAACAGAACTTCTATACATTACCACTCCAATCACATATATTAATAAAATAAATAATTTTAATGAACTAGCTGATAAATTAAATACAAATTATATAATAAATTCTAATAAAGTTTTACAGCAAAATACCCGTTAAGACATTATTTTCACAACGACTGTTCAAATTTTCAAAGTTCACAAGCTCAAAGATATGAAAAGGATTATGTTATCATCATTTACTTCCTTAATAATAGTTGTGGCATAGAATTGCAATACGAAAGGATTGTTTTCAACCACAATAAATCTATCTTTTTTCTTTATCACTGTAAAATTTGTTATGGAGTATATTTTTCCTTCCTTTAGTTAGTATACCTTTGAACCTGTAAGAAATACCTCGTCTTGTGGAAGCATGTATGTAATTGTTCTATAAAAAAAATTAATCAATTAAAAAATTTAGAAATAAATTTAGTTAGTTATTATAGAACAACATATAAAAGACAACATAATTATAACTTATAAAAAATAATAATTATTTTATAAGAAAAAACAAATCTAATACCTTTTAATCAATCAGTACCATATCAGTACTAATTAACTCTTTCTTGCGATTTATGTTTAGTGTATCCCACAGTCGTGATATTTGCACTTTTATTTTTCAATCATCTATTGTTAAATTCAGATTGTTAAGAAAAGTCTATTTATCTTCATTGGAACTTATTGTTTTTCTACAAAAGCATGAAAAACATCAAAGTAAATAATTACATGTGATGAATATTAAAAAATAATAATATATTTGATACAAATTAATTATTTAAAAATAAAATTCAATACAGAATATCAAGGCTAAAACAATAGAGCTTTATACTAACTTAAAAAAATAGATTGAAATATACTACTCATTTCATAGTTCAATAAAATAAAAAATATCAAACTCAAAAACACATGTACTTACGTTGATAGGTAATTCTTGATTGATATGATTGCAAAATACAAAGAAAAAAGATAATAATAGAAAGAAAATATCAAACTCGAAAATACATGTACTTACGCAGATAGATAATTCTTGACCGTTGATATGATTGCAAAATACAAAAAACAAATGACAATAAAAAAGACGGTGAACAAGTTTTTAAAAATTGTGTAAATAACTAAACATGACTTATATAAGTAAAGATGAAGTCTTACTTAGAAGTATATGAAAATTCATAAAATAAATATAATATAATAAAATTTGTCCTTTCATTTACATAATAGTTAATAATAAAATATAATATATAATAAAATTTTTAATAAAATAATTTAAATATATAATTTTTTTGTTAGAAATTTAAGTTAACAATTTTTTTACTTCAAAGTAAATTTTAGTTTTTGAAATATATATTGAACTACATATTATATTAAACTAATTAAATTGATAATTTAAATATATAACTTATCTTTTCATTGAAAATTTAATCTAACAATAATCTATAATAAAAGTAATTTATTCATAAATATGTTTTTTTTAATTCAAACTACATTTCATAAAAGTAATTTTTTTATAAATAATTTGTATGTAAAATTTAATTTAACAATTTATAATAAAAGTAATAATCTTATAAGTGTAATTTTCTATTAAAAATGTAATTTAACAATTTATAATAAAATTAATAATCTTATAAGTGTAATTTTTTAATTCAACTCATACTTTAGTATTTGAAGTATATATTAAATTATAAATTATTTTAAACTTACAAATCAGATATAATTTTAAATCATAAATTATAAAAAATATTA